ATATATATATATATATATATATATATATATATATATATAAAGGTTATCTTAAAACTTTGACTTATATTTTTTTGATACATTATAGTTTATATAGTTTGAAATTTATATCGTTTGTGTTTATTATACTGTTGTTTAGTGTGAATTCGACAAGAATTTATCATATTCTAGCAACATTCATACTCTTCTTGTTAGATGCCACTGGCCGCTGACGATCAAATCTTCAAACTTTGGCATTCCAAGGGACGTCAAACGTGAACACACGATCAGTTCGCAACCAGTGAAAACCACATGTAGCTGAAGTGGGAAGAGCAGCGGAAACTGTAGAAGCGGATTTGATCACCAAAACAACATGTAGAAACACATGTTGGAGCACGCAAACTATGTGACTTCTTTATTCGAACTGCAGAAGCACTTGTCCGTGCCCCAATTTATCCTTCTCGCACTCATCGTCGATCACCGAAACAGGATTCCCTACCCACAAGCTCAACAACTCACTCAAAACCCGGCATATTTGAAGACAAGCTGCCGCCGCTTCTCTTCTTCTTCCCGCCGGCGCTCCGGACCGGGCATGAACACGCTCTCCGGCTGCGCATTGAGCACCTCTTCCACTTCCTCCGCCGGGACGCCGAAGGCCATCGCCTTCGCCGCCCTGTCGAGTCTGTTCAGCACGTTGTTCCTCCCCGCGAGGTAGTACCTCCGGTTGTTCTCCGACCGTGTCCCGAAGCAGAGGACCTGAAGGTTTTCGTTAGCAGCGGCCACGACTGCCGCCGGGTGCCCTGCGGGGATCACGAACACCGACCCACGGGAGACTCGCGATCTCACGGTCCGATAGCGGACGCGCTGCTCTCCTTGGGATCCCGTCTCTACCTGGGTTCTGCGTCGCTCGGCGGAGCGGTGGGGACAAGCCATCTCGATGTAGCCTCTTCCTTCCACCACCATGGCCAACTTGGTCGACCGGGTGTCGTAGTTTGGAGCCATCATTGATCTCTACACATAACAACCGCAGAGGCTGAATGATGGGAACGACTCTTACAGTGGTGCATATAACAGTGCAAAAAAAGAGAGGAGTGAGATCACCTCGCTGATGTTAGCAATGGATACGTCCACATTCAGATCCTGGAGCATCTCGCACTCGTTACCTGTGGCCTCGTGTAGTTGACCGTGCTCATTCGAATGAGAAGGGCTGTTCTCCAGCAGATTGTATGGCTCATTTGAGAGTCCACTCTCAGTATTGGATTCACTCAATGCTCTGATCTGATCCTCGGTTATCTTTATGATTCCCCCCTTCCTCTGGCTCCTAAACACCCTCTCTAGTTTATCCCACGGAGTCTACAGATCAAACACAGTACGGTTAAAGTCCTAAAGAGGGAAGAGTCGATGAGAACATGGGGATGGAAGCAGATCGGAACCGACATTGAAGGCAGCTTCCAGTACTTCGTTGCTAAAACTGGTGTAGAAGGTCTGTGGATTCCTCCCGGCTGCACCATGGTACTCCTACGTCAAAGAAACCATGAGTCCTTCACATTGCGCCGAGGACCTAATCCAAAGGAGTACACTGAATCCAATCTACCTCAATGTGCCCGGGAGTCGAGATGGGGTGGAGGAGCATGGCGACTCGGAGCCTCTCATTACTGGCTTTGTTGATGGCATACACGATCACCCCCGCCGGAACCCTCATGATGTCTCCTCTCTTGATATCGTGTGACTCTCGCCTCTCCTCGTGCAGCAGTGTTATCGTCCCACGCCCTGCACGTGACGGCCATGACATTACGTACGTAGAGACCATTGGGCTTAGATCAAAGCTTGCATGCATCGACTGGTATACCTTGCATTACGTAAACCACCTGTTCGGCGTCCCAATGGCAGGGCATGATAAAAGTCTGCGGCTCCGCCTCCAACACCGCCAGGCGGTAGTTGTCGACGCCCAGCAACTGGTCGGATGTCCGAGCAAACCTCTCCAGCACCTCCAAACTGCCGTGCTCCGTTCTGCTCCACTGCTGGTAGCTCCGCCGGCCGAAGTAGTAAGGGTTGTGCTCTCTTCCAGATTCTTGCTCGCCGGAATGGTCTAAGCACCGGTGCACGCATAGCTTCCTCTGCTGCTGCTCCGGAATGCCTCTGCACTCCATGGCGCAACGCTTTTTCTCCGGATCAGATCTGGAGGATGAAGCCAAGAGGCAGCTGGAGGAGAGGAGCAGGAGGAGAAGTGGGAAGAGGAAGGCTTCGACTCTTCTGGTGGCCATTTCGCTTTGGCTTCTGGTCTTTGCGGGAGATGTGTGATGCAATGTGAATGGCTAAGCGGATATTTATAGAGTTGAGAGAGAGAGAGAGAGAGAGAGAGAGAGAGAGAGAGAAGCGGGTTCGCCTCAGGACGCTCGGCCGCGTGCAATGTGCATGGCTCGGCGTGGAAGGAAGGGAGCTCACGTGGAGCGTATGATTTGGTCGTCGGCCACCGAGTCGTAGGCCACCTGGTTCTATCGATGCCAAGGACCCTCGAAACTAAATCGACGCTTCTCGTGGGCTACTCGTTAATGATCAACTTTTACTGCCATAGACCCTTGTAGGGTCCATGCAGTTGGGTTTCTAAACACGAGCAGGAAAGCAAATGGGTGGTTTACGAAAAGCTATTTCCGTCTTGTGATCGTCATGTTGAAAGATTGCTCTCAATAGACAGACGATTGCAGCGATTACCGATGACGACAGTGTTGGGTTCTTTAACGTATGGATCAAACAATTGTTTTACAGAATCAAAACCGAATTTTGATCCAAAAATAAACTTAATAGATCCAAAACAATAGATTAAGAATGTTTCATAAAACTTATTAAATCCATTATAATATACATAAAATCCTACAATAATTAAAAAATATATTAACACGAAAGCATACATGCTTCTTGGTCTTTTGTTGATCTTTCATCTTTCCTGGGCCTTCTTACCTCCTGGCATCAATGAGACTTCAAGTACTTCTTCCTTGTCCATAGTCTGATCACAGTTCACACAGAATGTTGTGATTTGACAGTTACACCTACTCTCTTTTGTCTTCTTCTTTGTCTAACTCTATAGGAAAACAATGGGAGTTAAATAACCAGACTTGAGTTGATAACATTTTAGACCATGACCAAACTTGCAGGTCATGAACATAGACATGGCCTTGCCTTGGCTCTCCATTCTCCACTGATAGCCTCAATCTCATCATCATGTCAAACTGATGCTAAAGACTGACATTTGACAATACAAAATAATAGCAGTCACCTGCAATTATTAGCAGCTTGATAGCAAATTCTGAGGGGGTGGCATCAAAGATGTGGCATTCATGAACTTGGCATAAATAAATCTGCAGATGAGGCTGTCAACAGAGCCTTAAAGCCAAAGCTACCCAATCTTGTCCAACCCTCTCTGTTAGATGTATCTGAGGAGAGGCCACAACCAGTCCACAAGAGTTTCCACTCGTTTCAATGGGAGGAGATCAGACATGGTTATCTCTTTTGGATCCATTCAATTCATGCAGCACCTCAGACTGACAGACACTGGTGGATGCATCAGAGTAAGCGTCATCCTTTGCTTGTGGACCTCAAACTGCTCTTGGGGAGGAAAGTTCCAAGCGAAGCAGTGTAGGAGAGTCTCCCATGAATGGGAAAGCATGGATGAGGATGACAGTAAATGCCTTCACCAGAAGAAATTGTAGGCCAGCTGTGACCTATGACTACAATAAGTGATCTTATTTCTTGATTCACTGATTTTTAATCATCACATATTCAAATGCTAAACAAAATGACAGCTTTCTTTCAAGGCTAAAATATGATGCACTTGATGATGCCTTTACTCTGCTGGACCATAACCACCATCACACCAAAAACATGGAGAAACACAGTAGCATTCCTCAATAGACTCCATCTTTTTCTGATTGACTGAAACAATAGCTGCCTTATCACCTAACACTTCTCCTTCTTCTCCAGAAGCATGGATGAGTTATACTCTAACATGTCCAAGCTCAACAGACTATAAGCTAAGGAATGTTCTCCTTGATATATTTCCACTGCAGAGGACTAGAACATGAAATGAGCATCATTGTCATTGTTGGACTCCCAAACTCAGCAGAATCAGATATTTAAATTAGTGTAGCAGCAGTATACATTTGTATATCCTATATCAATCAGCACACAGCCTCCAATTAAGAGCATCGGAATGGCTTGTTACACGTTGAGAGGCATTCCAAGTTTCACCAGCTGAAGGCTCTCAAAGAGCCTCCAACACAGAAATGTCAAGTAGATAGCCAACAGTCCAATGCCCAGCACCCTGTCTGGCTTCATCTTCCTCCTTGGCAGCATGAGAAGAGCCCACAGCAGACCTCCTATCAGGAACCCTAGTGTCTCAAAGATAGCTCTATCCTGAGGGACTACAAAGGGAGAGGGGTGTGAAGCCCCAGAAGCCAGCACAAGGGACACACCCAGGCCTACCAATGTGTTGAAGATTGGACCTGCATAGCACCCAGAGATGGCAATCTGAACTCCATCCCCTCGACCACTGACTGCCAATGCAACATTGGCAATCAGGTCCCCCAGTGAGTTGCCCCATGCCAAGACAGTGAATCCCAGAACCAGAGGGCTGATCCCAGCTATGTCACCGATGGCCACCAGCAGTGCCACTAGCTCCCCTGCTATCATGTAAGACCAGATCACGCTCATCAGGAACCCACCTGCAAGCCAAGGCAGCAGGCATGCCTTTGGAGGTGCAGACTTCTCAGTGGTCCCAATTGCAATGATCCCCAGCACCATCCCCGCCACGCTACCAAGAACATAGGTTGTAATCCTCTCTTCTGAGCCTACTTCTCCTCTTTGGGAGATCCAAAGAGTTGCCAAGAAGAGTGGGGATAGGCTCACTGAAGCAACTGCAAATGGCTTTGACCATCTCTCCTCGGACACATCTGGTATTGTGAGTCTTCTTGGCAGATTTAGTGGCATCTCTAGCAGATACAGAAACCAGCTCAGGTACTGTGAGACCTGGGACTTCTCATTTGGTCGAACACCTTCTTCGACATCTTTCGCTACGGTGTCTTCTTCTTCTTCCACCATAAGGCCATCAAGAATCGGCACCACCAGTTCGCTCTGCTTCTCCTTGCAGTAATGCCCTGCCCACACTAGAACAACATACGCAATGTAGAGGGACGCGAAGGCCATGGAGCCCCAAACACCGATCTTGCCAACGATCAATATGGCGAGCAGGGAGCTCAGCACCAGGAGGAAGAAGCAGAGGTCACGTATGAAGCTGGACCGGTCGATGGCGACGGCCCGAGAGCCCACGGCGATGCTGATGATCCCCGCCACCACGCTCGAAACGAAGAATGCGCCGCCGAGCACGCTGCTGAGGCCGACGTCGCCGACGCCAGAGCCCGCGAAGGACACGATGCTCGAGAAGACGTCCGGCGCGCCGTTGCCGAGGGACAACAGCGTGACGCCGGCAATGGTAGGAGGCAGCCTCAGCACCCCCGACAGGCCCTCTAAGGACGAGCAGAAGTAATGGGAAGCGGTGTTCCCCAGCAAGTAGAAGAGCAGCAACAGCCACAGGAGGAGAAGAGCGTAACCCAGAGGAGGGCAGCCGCCGGAAGCGCAGTAAAATATTCGGAGGTAATCTATGAAGCCTTGGGGCACACAGGCCTGCTCATGTGTCTTGAGGTAGGAGCAAATGGCTTCATGGTCGTTGATCCTGCGCAGGCCTTCGCAACCATCTTGTTTGATGGGTTGGCGAAGGCTTCGAGGGGAGGAACCGAGATGAGCTGCGAGAACAAGGAGTGTCAGAAGCAGCAGGAAGGAACAGTTGAGGTAGAGACCATTGAAGGCCATGGCTCGAATTCTACATGGCACCAACATTGGCTGGTATGCAACTACGAGAGAGAGAGAGAGAGAGAGGTCGACCGGTGGAGTGACTAAGAGTGGAGTAGGAAGGAGGAGGAGGGTAGGG